AGGGGGTACATGGTACGGGACGGTAGCATTGCATTCTTGTTTCAAATTAAATTAAATTAATTAATACGATGTATTATAATCGCTTATGTCCATAATCGCTTTAAACTTAATGTCTTCAATATATATAATTTAATATTTTCAGAAGCCATGTCTATATACCTGTCCGCCCTCGGCTATCGACGCCCACTTCAGCTACCCGTCATCGTCATTACGGCCGCATGACATGATTCCTTCCGCCCGTTTAGCATGCGTGTGTGAAATGTGCCCTTAATGGGTTTTAATCCTTCGTTTGTTAGCGGCCCGGTGGCATTTGCAGTGGCAGCAATACGCGATGGTCGAGGGGACGCGTTGCCATTTTTCGACCACCTGTGCACTCTGGCCTCTCATGTCACGTAATATTTTTACAGTATTTTCATAATGAGCGGATTATTTTCTTAATTGATGTTGATCGGTCTATTATATGCACACAATTTCCGCATACGTTAAAAACCTAATTCGAAAACTTGTTCGCAAACAAATGCAAAACGAACAATGTTAACCCGTTGCGGTGACAATTTGTGCGCGCCAAAAGTTAATTTGATTTTGTGCTGACCACATGTAAAATTTGAACTTTTTGACTTTGACAAATTTGCGGCGAACATTTTTAGAATATGTTCACAGTCATTAGCCATTGGGAAATGGTTCCATTTTGTTTTTCTTGTTAGTGCTTTGGTCTTTTGTTTAAATTTCGCAAGTGGGATTTCGGCCTAATTGGTTTGGAGAGCACGAATCGGTTGTGCAAATAGCGGAGCGAATGCAATTAGGGACGTTAATTGTTGAGGGGGAAACTAAATGAAGAGCACTTACCTTTCAATAAAGTGCATGGTGTCCATTGTGTGGTATAATTTTCGAAACAAATACATTTTTATACTCTGTACATGAAATGTACAGAAGTATATTAGGTTTGCGGGAGCTGAAAAATGTAACAGGCAGAAGGAGGCGTGGCAGACCCCACAAGGTATATATATTCTTGATCAGCATGACGAGACGAGTCGATCTAGCCCTGTCTGTCTGTCTGTCCGTCTGTCCGACTGTCAGTCTGTCCGTCTGTCCGTCCGTATGAACACCTGGATCTCAGAGACTATAAGAGATAGAGACACCAAATTTTGCACAAAGATGCGTTATGTGTGTATTCTATACGAGTTTGTTTTATTTTTTTGATTTTCCCCCCCACTTCCCCCCTATGGGGGTTTTCCCGATTTTCCATTCGTATAATCGCCTATATCTCGGAGACTATAATACCTAGGAACACCAAATTTTAGTCCCAGATGCCTTATGTGAATACGCAGAAAATGTATATTTTGGAATTCCCCTCCCTCCCCCCTCTACCCCGCAAATCGTAACTCCCGTAATTCTTGGAATTTCGAACTAAAATTTTGGAAATACCCCCAGTTGGTTATTATGTGTCCGTATGCCAAATTTCATTATGATAGACCGATTTAACAAGAAGTTATAGCCATAAATATATTTGCTGCTGCAGCGCTGCTCAAGCGCTGCCCGCGGCTGTTGTTGATGTTGCTGTTTGGTTGACTGCGAAAATGCTTACACAGACACGAATAGATGCGCATAGGCATACATACACTAACACAGACGCAATTGCTATGTAAATGTGCAATTATAAACCCTTTACGTGAGTTCGAATACCGAAAGAGGTAAAATCGATCAAATTTTTTTTTTTTTTTCTTAATTTTTTTTATTTTCTATAATTATTGTAAACATATGTACAGAGTATTTCAAAGTCGGGACACCCGACTTTAGCTTTTTTACTTGTTTTTATTTATTGTATTGCATTATATCAGAAATTGTTTTTTTACACTATTTGAAATCTGGCATTATAGTTTAAATATGGTTTTCTAACACTTTGTGAATGTGTTAAAGTTGATAACTGAATGGTGTTGATGTTTTAAGTATTTTATTTATTCTTAAGATCTCTAAAATCATGTTTGTTAGAGTTTTTCAAATGTAAATTTCCCAGTTTGCTTTAGAAAAATAGGAAACTGTTGTGGTATTGATCGTATGGTTATCTATGCTAGTCCACCCCAATGTAATGTTATCGATGTAAAAAGTATGAGTAAGAGACAAGCAAGCTTCATTAAATAAACTATTAATTAAGATAAAATGCCCGCATTCATCATTTATTGGAGGTATAACAAAACAAATGTTGTGAAAGTTATAATAACTAAATTGTTGTGGAATATTTGCTCACAAATTATGATAAAATATGAAATTCTTAAATTCATTTTTGAACAATCATGTACAATCTGTCAAGTAAGTTATCAATATAATGTGTTTTCAATAAAAAATTATAAGAAATATACTCTTAAATTTACATATTTTGCGATTAACTTTTGACAGCTTACTTGGCAAATTTTTTAACTTTAAGCAAAAAAAAATTGTAGTATATATTTGTAGGAAGATGTTGGTGGAACTTTTAGAATCAGATATCAATGTTGATTTATTCATGAATTATGATCAAAGATTTTCAAAAAGCTCCACTAAAATGATGCCAGCCTTGAACTGGCATTGGAGACAGTCTACGAAATCTGACTAACAAATGAGCTGCATTTAAAACTAATAAACTGTTCACAGGCATGGTGAGGATAGATTAAAAATAGTTTAGACATTCTATGGTATAGGATTATGTGTTATGTGATATGTTTCTCACAAATCCGCACCCAACCAACACTAACAAATCCATGACACAATTGTAAGCACCTGTTCATCACTAATTAGTGCTGCATGCTGATTAAATCATATGTAGACCCTTTAGCTGCCGTGGCCGGCCAGCTGCAGATGGAAGGACACGAACTACTCGTATGCATATCCCTATGAATGGTGATGGGTGCTGTACGTGCGTTTTACAGGATTAAGCACTTAGCAACAATTTTACGCACGCATTTTAAATTAATTATACATTATTTATAAATAGGTAGAATGCGCACAAAAATGATGCCCAACAGGACTGGCAGCAGGAAAGCAAAAGCCATCAAGTGGTCCGCACCTCGTCCATGGGGGGTTCTGTTGTTGTTATTGTTGTCATCGTTGCTCTATCATCAGGAGGATTTAATGTTGAAAACCACAGAACGAACATGTTGCGCTTAAAATACTTTGCTAATTTTTGCTAATATTTGCCAGGTGCATGTTGTTGGCATTAGTGTTGTTGTATTTGTTGTTGCTGCTGCCTCCGTTGGACATTCGTTTTGTCTGCCAGTCGGATATAACAAATATTTAAACGTATTTAATTAAAACTCACAAATGAAACCGCAACGCGCGCAATGCACGACGTCCGTTTGCATTACACACTCACACTCACACACACACACACACATACATAGACCACACATGCACACAAGTGCGCACAAATTATTGTTTATTTATTTACATGCATAGGAGACGTCAGTGGATGCACGAGTTTGTCGATTTTTGTTTGTGTGTGTGCGTGCGTGCGTGCGTGTGCGTGTGTGTGTGTGTTGAGGGTGTTGATGTGTTTCTATTTATATTTGCATCGGTGAATACATAAATACATTTGTTTGTATGTATTTAATAGGAATCCATGTGTGTATTTGTGTGTGTATGTGTGTGGCATTTGCGCTTCTAAAACGTTTTTGCATTTTTAGCTCTGCATGCTTTTGGGCAACGAAATTTTTTCTCCTCGTCTTGCAATTGGAATTGAAGGGAATTTTGTGTCTCCCGCATTGCATTGCATACTTTTGGGCGCGCGCAGTTAGGGGGGTATGCCAAAATTAAAATATATTAAATAAAAACATTACACGAACATTGTAGACAATTGTTAAATTAAATTTATTTTACAATATAGTTTATTTATTAACTGATTTGGTTAATTTCACTTAAAAGAAGGATCGGAGGGCAGCTGCAATGAATCTTACGAGTACGACGAAAAATTTTACTAGTTGAGGATATCCTCTTCTCTTTCTGTCTCTCTATCCCTCTCTTACTTTTATAACCTTATCTTAGTTCCAATTAAAGAGGACTTTTTCATGCTTTGCGTGGAACATAGACCTTACAATTGCTGGACTTTTTTTGCTAGGCTTTAAGTGCATTAACTGAAAACTTACTTTTCAAAATCGAGGTTTTTTTTAAATTTGTCATAAAATATTCACATATTAATACTTTAAACATAAGAAACCCACTAATACACTATTTATTTAGACCTTTGTAATTAAAATACCTATTTACATTCATAAAAATAAATTATTTCATTATATTGCAGAATTCGTCGACTGGTGTTGAAAAAAAAAAATGAAAAATGCGTCATTTTGTTTGCTGAAATATTTTCAAAGCTCCAGTGGAAGTGGAAGCTGATGTACAAAAAAGTAAGAATCGACCGCTTGAAGCCAACATGGTGAATTGTTTGTGTCTATTTTTAAATATTCGAATAAGCTATTAAAAATAATCAAATTTCATTTATTTACTCTTAATTAATATTAACTACAAACAACAATTAAAAATTAAATAAATATTTATTCAAATGTCCAAGGAAAACGCTGCACTCGCTTCTCCTTTCTTCAAAGACAGCTAAACATAATTGACCCTTAAATCAAGGTCCTAAAAACAATATTTTGTTAATATTTGATTACTATTAAAGCTATATTGCGGCTTGAAAAGTACCTGACAGAACAAGTTTTAGTTACAATTTTGATTGACATTTTATTAATCAAAGATAACAGAAAATGTTTTTGTCTTTCAACCGCACCCTCCCTTCCTCCCTTTGACAGTACGATTTAAAACAAAAGCACAAATTTGCATTATCGAATCAAACTGATTGAAAATATCGTTACTGAAGCTCTACATATTTCACCTATTTAAAATTAAAATACAAAAAATTTTAATTCATCATAGTAAACAAAAAATGTTTAAATATTTGGAGATTTATAGAAGTAGCTGCCAATTCTTGTTCCATCAATTGCCTCTGCTATCCAAAGAAAAGAAAGAAATTGAAATACTCTGCTTAAAATATTTATATTAGTGGAGACTAAACACTAACAATGGTTCCTGAATGGCTTTATCATAAAGAAATATATAAGAGTCTAATCACAATTTGGATATTTTGCGTCTCTGTTCCAACTCTGTTATATAATTAGGCGTTTCGCGCAACGACAATTTATGTTGAGGCGATGGATGTAGAATATCGAATGTTATGGTGAGGTTCTCATCAACACCCATTGTAGCGCCCGCATTGTCATACAAGCCGCAATAATTTGGCGCCGAAAATAGTGTAACTAATTGACGTTTCGCAAAGAATTCGTAACCATCCTCAACCACCTGATGAGCACGACAAACCAAATCGAAATCGTGTTTGGCCAGAAACTTCTCAAGGACGTCACGGCCAAACAAAAAACTAACGCCCCGATCACTGGGACTCCAACCAAAATTGTAGGGATCTGGATCGGCCCACAGCAAGTCACAAAATAGGCCCTCATCAGGCACCTCTGCCGGTCTCGGCAGACCTTTGATTTCATCGAGCTCTGTCAGATTCCGACTTATTCCGCCGTGGCAGCAAAAGATGCGATTGGAAATTATAGCCGCCATGGGTAAACAATTATAGCAGTCTACAAAGTTTTTCCATAACTTGGTACTATAGCGGCGCTTACACTCATCGTAGAATCCGTAGATACGGTTAATGAACTGGGACTCGTGATTACCGCGTAGCAGGAATACTTTTTTCGGAAACTTAACTTTCAACAGCAGCAGCAACGTCAACGTCTCCACCGAATTCTTTCCTCGGTCTACGTAATCGCCAAGGAAGAGGTACTTCGTCTGCGGCGGAAAGCCACAATTGTTCAGAATCTGAAGCAGATCAGTATACTGGCCATGTATGTCACCCACGACTCGCAATGGCACCGAAACCTCAAGCAACATAGGATCGTTCATCAGCACCTCTCGAGCCGTAGCTATAAGACTTCGAATATCGTCCTCGAGTAGTCTGAATGGTCTGTTTTTCTTAAATGCCTTTAGATTTCTCAACATCTCAGTATATTTGTCATCATTTGGCTTGCGTATTGAATGATGTGAGCTTGTCTTCGGCAACTTACCATATTTATTAACAATTCCGGCCTTAGAGCTGATAAGCATGGCTTTCCAAATTAATTCACGTTCGATTGAATAATTTTGGCAATTCTTCTTTGTGAATGGTGGTGATCGAAATTTTGTACAGAAATAGTTTTATCCTTAACTTTTTATCAACAATCAATTTCACGTTTCTCTTTTGTGTGCGAACTGCCGGTTAATACCAAAATGCATGCAAAAATTTTTGAAATTAATACGAATGATTTGTACTCGCCTTCCTAGATTTGTTTTGCTCTTTTATTTATATTTTTTCTATAAGAATTGTATATGTTGCCAGCTTGTTGTAAAACGAATGTCTTTGTCTGTTCCATGTAGACTCATATCCTTTACATAGTGAGGCAACTTAAAATTTCTCAGCATTTTTTACAGCAATTGGTTTCAAACTTACGGTCAATAAATTTTTCTAAAATATCAGTGTTGCTCTTGATTAACTTTTTTTTAACAATAATCTTCGTATATTTGCTTCTTTTGCCTACGATTTAATTTAAATACATATTTTTTTCACCATATATTTATATAATTCATTTTATTTATATAATTCTGTATACTTAAATTCTTATTTTTTAATTATGAATGAATACCAAATTAAAGCAAATTGGGATAAAGAAAAACTAGTGAATTATTGTCCAATTTACCAAACATAAATTTAGCAAAGGTTCGTCTTATTTTATGAAGATGTAGAAGTTTGAAACAAACATTCTTCTTTATTGTTATTGTTTCAACTAATCATGACCTAATTCAAGCATGCATTTAATTTTATACGATTAATCAATTCTGCAAAAAAATCGATGTTTTCTATAATAATCGATTCTAAATTGATTCTTTTCTTTTTACAACTCCACTTTAAATGACAAAATTCTGTATTAAGACACCGATTTCCTGCTTCCATGGTAAAAGTCCATTAGAGAATAATGTTTATCAAATTGTTACAATCTCGTATTTTCAAGTCTAAAATCTACAAAAAACCTTTCTAGGCTTGCTTTAGCTCTTATATTTTTTCTGACGGACTCAACTAAACCAAAAAACAACGAACAGAACAATCCACAAAAGCATTTAAACTTTTAAGTACAAAGTATTCATTTTAAATGTAATATTCAAATTCAACTCGAAGGTGAACAAAACTCCCAGACTCCATGATTTTAAACGCATGTAGACAAACATCAGACTGTTTGGAATGTGTATGTTTGTATGTATGTACATACATATGTGTAAGCCAGCAAGCTAAATAGAAAAGTGCAGGCATTGAAAAATAAAACAAAAGTTACAGAATAAACAATTGAGTTGCAGTAGCCAGAAAGCCAAAGCAGAGTTGTCGGGTGGGGGTATACTTTAAATAAACACACCCGCATATACCCACATATGTATTTAAATTCATCATATCAGTGTAAGCTTGTGTGAGTGAGTAAGTGTGTGTGTGTGTGTATGTGTGCGTGTGTGGGTGTGGGATTTAAGCAAATGGCGGTCAGTGCGATGCAATAAAAGGTGAAGCTAAGTAAAAGGACAGAGAATAGAATTGCTTTGTCAAGCTTTGTTGTTTGTTTCCACTATATTTTCTTATTTGTTATCCTCTCCTGCACTCTGCTGTACCATTCTTCTCTCTGCCAGCCATCTTCTCAGCATTAATTTATGCATTCAAAAAGCATATCAAGCGCTTGAGCGGGGAGATAGAAGTTAACTAAAGTCGAAAAGCCAAAGAGCAGTTACACACACACATGCATTCAGGCACACACACATTGTTATTTGACTTTTGTGCGCACATATGCGGAAGAATGCAATTTTTCACACGCTGCCATTTAACAAAAGTTTTTCCTTTTTCCAACATGAACATTTTCAAAGATACTTACATACACATACAGTTTACTCTTAGAGCTTTTTTTGGGAGGATTTCGTAACTCTTTCTGATTGCATATAATAAAGACAATAGAGTAATGACATTTTGAAGTTTTCTCAAAGTTTGCATTTTATTTTAAAGTTAAAAAGTGCTGTTTCTCGAGGAGTTTTTGATCATATGTATATATGAGTATACACCTAATGCTGTTTTTACACTGTAGATTGGTACCTAAAAAAGTCGTGATAATAAAAACCGTGTAAAAAAAGACATTGACAAAATTAATCTTGCTAAATGGAATAAAGTCGTGTAAGCACATAGAAATTTTTTAATTTTCAAACCGAGTTAAATTCCTAACCGTGTAAAAACAGAATTAGGTGCATTCACACAAAAGCACAATTTGCAAAAAAAGCTTAAAAATGTCTCTTTCCAAATAAATTTGTTTCATGAAAATATCTCTATTCGTTCAGGAGATATGATTTTTGCAACGAAAAAAGTCAGAAGGCTGTGTGATGGTATGAACATACTACTATCACTTAACACTTAATAATTCCGTTTCGAGTAGAGCAAATTTCATTATATTTCTACAGGATGTCGGTAAGGGATGTAATGGAAATAATGAATTTTTTTGTATATATTTGTAAAAATTTGATTATATACTATATTGTCATATCTTTTGTGCAATTTATTACAAAATTTTAAAATTAGGAAAATTATAAAACAATGCGAGTTGATTTATTTAATTATTTATTCAACAACATTGAATTGGAAATTCGTTTCAAACATTTACACTCTAATTATCTAGATTTAAAATCCTTAAGTAGACTAAAAGCAAATAGCTTAAAATTGTACAATTTCATAAAAACTATGGCAATAATCAAAAGTAATGATGCAAATTGCATTTCAATAACATCAATATATATATAGAGTTTATACAAAAAAGTTGTGACAAATGTAGGCGATTATTATTTATTTCTACATATACAATATATTTACAAATATCACAAGAACAAAAAATGGGGGCTTTACGGAAAGAAATAGTAATAGAAAACTCAACGGCATGGAATGTAAGTAGATATGTACATGAATAACAAAATATAAAACACGTTTTTCTAAGGGCGCATAAAAATAACAGATCCATTTTGAAAGCCTCCCGGCATAGAAATAATAGTGAGTAACACTTTGAAGAAAATAAAAAGTTCATTATCAGTTAAAAAGCTGGACATGGTAGCTCAACGGTTTTACTTTCAAAATATGTCGAATCCATTTAATTTTTATGCGCAATCTATTCATCTCTCTCTCTCTCATATACTTTCTCTATGAAAAATGAGCTTAGTTTGCAGCTCCAGAGACTGCAATATTCAAGAATAAATGCGAAATTTGAAATGATAAATTGCCGTTCAACAAGAGACTTAGAGAAGTGAATCATTATGATTGGAAAAATATTGGCAATACGACTAAAACTTATAATACTTTTGCTATACACTTAACCTACGGCTTTAAAGCTTTTCCACATACGCCTCCGATTCCAGTTCCTTCTTCATGCTGCCATTCTCCAACTTCCAATCCGGCTCGAAGGCTCTATTGTCGTGCTGCTCGAGGTGTTGTTGTTGCATCGCATTGGCCGCTGCCTCGGCATGATTCCGATTGCGTTGGATTTGCGTGGAATGGCGCAGGCCATAGGCGAAATAAATGATATAGCCAATGATTATCCAAATCAGAAAACGTATCCATGTATAGAGATCAAGTTGGAACATCAAATACAAATTAACGAACACGCTGAGGCAGGGAATGAATGGCACCATCGGCACCTGGAAGGTCAACTCAATACCAGACACGGGCTGTAGTCCGATCACAACGCATATAACTATCAGAACCAAGCCGACAATACTCAAAGATATAATGCCAGATGCGCTGCTTATATCAAAAGCTCGCTCCAGACCACACCAAAGCAACGTGAAGAGCGCAAACACTACAATGCCTATTTTGGTGATTCCCGAAGTAAGGGTGTTGGGCTTATTAAATGAGTTGCCATTGTAGAATTGTTTCAGAACCGTAGGCAAGCGTACGGTTACCTCCTTGATCATGCCCTCGTCCTGGTAGCGCAAAACAAGCACACAAATAGCCACAATGGTGTAGGCCAGCAATGTGCCAATAGACATCATGTCGATCAACTGATCCAGATCGAAGAGTAATGCCATGATAGCTGAAATATACAAAAAAATATATATTTAGTACCGGCTAGACGAAACAAAAATGTTAGAATTAGATTGGTGTAATTAAAAAATTATAGGATACTAGCTGTACTGTAAGCTTTAGAACGCCTTCTAAACACCTTTGATTTATTAGTTTTGCATGCCTAATTGTTTTTTATATATGCTTGATTGTTTTTATGCCCTGATATTCTTATTGGTCCTCTGTAAACTGAATTTATTATTTTCATATTGAAACAACAAAACAAAGAAATGAAAGAAAATCAAAAAAATCCATTAATTTATAGGAAAAACCAAAATTCTTAAAAAAAAAAAAATAGAAAAATCTACAAAAATAAAATATAATTAAAAATTGTGTTCATTCAATAGCCACGAAATTCCACAGTACTATATTCACAGACTATTTTCAATATTACCACAAAATTTAATCAAAAACGGGCAGCGATTTCGAAGTCTATGCATATCATACATACATACATATATGTACTATATATAGATTATCTAACATATCCATGCCTGTAATTCAATTTTAATAATCACTTTAATCGTGCCAAAAGCCTAATTGTTGTAAAAAAACAATATATCTTCGCTGTTCGAGAATTTTATGTTCAGTTATCGATTATCAAAACAAAAATAAAAATTGAAATGAGGAAAAAAAAAGGAAGGAACCAAATTGCTGGGATTTATGTACAAGTATAATTTTTCCCGCTTTACATTGTTTAATTTTTTATATTTCCCCATTTTGTTTAATTAAGTAGAAAAGAAAGCTGCCTCACTTGTAAATTCATAATGTTTTTAATTAAATTGAATTGAAAGGAACTACATTTATCGATTAACTGATTATGTGTTTAAAAAAACCGTTTTCAAGCAATACATAATAACCTGAAATCGAAAACTCTAGCCTATATTCGATATATTGAATATAGGTATATGTAAATATGTGTTTATATTTAAATCGCAATCAGTTTACATTTTTTAAATCGCTGTAACCGACGTTGTTCATCTTCGATAGCAATTACAAAACAATAACTACCTACATCTAGCGTGGAGATTGAGATTCTAAGATAATATGCAGACTGTATTTGATATTATTTCATTCACCGACTCTCAAAAACTTTTGCTGATAACCC